AGAAAAAGAGGCCATGAATTTGAGAGAAAACAAGGGAGACACACAGGAGGGATTTGAAGGGCAGGAGTAGAGGAAAAATGAGGCAATTATATGGCAATTTCAAAACAATTTTTAAAAGTATTCAGTTCTTCCTTCTTTAGCTCCCATTTTCTCCTTTAAGTTAAAGGTGATGATTATCAGTGTTTGATTGTTTTGGTTTGCCTCTTCTCCTGGTATGTACAGTGCAATCTGCTTGGAGTTTGTTGAACAAATGACAAAGAGGCATAATTTACAAATCTAGCCCCTAGTGTCCCTTCCAAGCCAGAGCTGTTAGTAGTAGCCCTGGGTTGGGGCTGAGGGCAGGGGTGGGGGATGCTACTGTCATCAGTCTGGAGCTCACACTACTGACTAGATGTTAAACCAGGACCCAGAGGGCATGGATCCTAGGCAAGCCAATCTGTTCTACAACACAATAGGAGGCACTCAGGGTGGAAAAGAACACAGGATCCAATTTCCAACCCCTCCCTGGTACAGATGCTTTCATGGAAGAGTCCTTAATAAACCGTCCAAATAAGACAGCAGGGAACTAGGCTTCTCTTAGAAGAAGAGGGAATCCTTCAGAACACAGTTCATCCTGGCAAGCCTGAAATTCAGAACACTGTGGGGAGGAAGGAAACTTGAGACTCCTGACAGGCCAGAGAGGAAAAAGAAAGGGTGGCATTTCAAAGTGGAAGAGAAGGACCCCAGAAGCCCTAAAGCACAAGCACAATAAATGTGAGTGTGGCTGAACGTAGTCACATTTTAGTTCAAAGGTACCCTTGATGAGAACTCAAAAAATGAGGCCTGAGCAAACAGTGTGAGCAGGATCACTTCACCGCTGGCTTGGCAGTCCTCTGCCTCTCCAACAGCACAATCACCTCCACAAAGGAGAAACAAGTGAAATGCAAACTGAGTTGGGACAAGTTTCCAGGGTGCTCCTAAAAGTGTGGGTGGCCAGCAGCTGCCAATAAGGATGAAGGACCAGCTCATGACGAACAGGGCCTCTGGGGGCCCTTCTAAAAGTGCTGCCTTGCCAGGTCACAGGCAGAAAGAAACCTGATTTCACTGCCTGGTGGCCCACAGCAGATGGAGAGGCTAGATCTGGGCCTGGTGGAAGATGAGGTAATGAGCTGTGATGGAGTCAATACAAGGCTCCGGGCCAGGGAGGACAGCTGAATGGAATGAGTATTTCAGAGCCTGTGACCTGGAAGGGAGCTCACCTTGGACCTAGTAGAGAAGTCTTTCAGGGAAACAACAGTAGGCACCTATTTTTTCGCTTGCTCAGCATCTGTGTTTGGCTGAGGCACAGTATCTCCAGCTTCCTTAAGGGAACTACCCCTCTCCACTTGCATCCTATGAGACTCTGGTTATACAATGATCAATCCCAAACTCTTGCTTCCACTCCACCAGCTTTGGATCCTGGGTTCAAGTTACAACTTGTGTATTAGCTATGCCCCCAGATGAGTTAAAAAGGGCCAATCATTGGATAGAGCCTGGGGGTTGCCCCACAAGTGCAGGAGATCTACTATATAAACACTTTGCATAATTGTGACTCATCAGTCCTCTGGACTGAGGTCCCTGAAATATGTGGGGACTCAATACTGCACCCCTGCAGTTGAGATAGTCCCTCTGTGGTATTTGGGACGATGGTGAAGACATAAAGTAAGGATACTCAAAAATCACTGCTTCTTGCCTATTTCAACACAAAAGTATTGCTGATATCTTGATGTAAATCATCACTCTGGGAATACAACTCTCAAAAGGCATATTGCTGGAGCTTTCACTACTATGTGAACAAGACCCAACCATGCACATTCCAGTAAGGACTAAAGGGCTGGTGCTAGGGCTGGGTGTGTGCCATGCATCATGGTCCCAGCTCATATAACCTCACTGTTTCATGTTCAGGCAGCATAAGACACAGCAAGGAGCCAAACAGAGTCAGTAATGTTTACTTTGCATAACTTCTATTGCAGAAAGGCAGGATACTGGCAAAGCAGAGCAAAGAAATCACTGCCTACATCCAAGAAATACAAGACCCACAAAGAACCAAAGAAAATAAGGATATGGAAGCAGCTACAAGCCTGGACCTAGAGAGATTGCTCCCAAAATCTTCTTCTCACTCCAGCCAGAAGAAGGTACCCTCCCCTTCCTGGGGATGCCACAGTCTGATTCAGCAAATATTCCCATGCACAGAATTTAAAAGGCTTGAACAAAAACATGGGGCGCTTCTTTAAAACAGACGTGTCATTATTTTTCAAACATTTTGTAAACCACCTTAATTTCACACAGCTTTGTCAGTGATATCACAGTCACTTCATTCTCCCTCCTTGGATAAAATTTAACATAACTGTGTCACTTGTATATACACACATAATAAAGAAGTCAATGTAACCTTATAATTACACCTCATTTTTGGTAGATATGCTGCATTTCTGTGCCCTCGAAGTTATTCTAATTGCATAGAACTACCCCCAGGAATTTCCATCAGTCACATCTTTCCCTCCAGATATAGAGTGATTGCAGTTCCTAAAAGCGAACTCTTAAGGTAAGAACTTGCAAGAATGTGGCCTCTCAGCTACATAAACACAAGAACACTAAAGGTCCCGGGCCTTGCTAAGGTTTCCCCTCTCTGTCTCACCACCCTGTATTTGGAATGATTCTGAAGCCATTCCCTGAGTGGTTTCATCTCCTAATATACAAAGGGTGCCCCCAAAATCTGATGTTCTGCTTTGTTTGGATACAGCAACACAAACTAGCCAGCTTACACGTACCTGAGAGTCACCAGAGAGGACCCATCATGAGAACTGAGAAAGAGACATGGTTCCTGAAGTTCTAATCAGTCAAATCCAAATTCTCTCCCCCATATAGGGATACTCTTCTAAGAAGATCAGCCAAGGGCAAAGAAGGACCTCCCTGTCTTGCCACACAAGTTGACAGCTCCTCACGTAAAGCATTTCCGTTCTGCCCCAAGCAGCTCATAAATTTGCCAGCTCCTCCCATAGCCTTCAATGCCCTTTATCCCAATGTATATTACCATTTGCCAGGATAGTGGCCCCAGCCTCCTTTCCACCATCCCCATATCTATTTCCATCCCTTTGGCATGTTCGCTACCCAACTGTGTCAGACCTATAATAGCTACAGAGAAGACTAAAGACCCTCTCAAGGCTGGAAAGACCCGGAGAATGTGACCTGCCACCTCCTGCTCTGGGTTCCAGCTGCCTCAGCCTGGGCAGTTCCTGCCACAGTGCCTACAGATCACAAGTTCCTTCCTCCAAGAAGCCTTCATTGGCTTTTCTAAGCAACCAAAACCTGATCCTATTTTTCACTTCCTGAATGAATTCTATGGAAAGCCTCCTTCACAGAAATTTTGTGTTAGTCATGTAAGTCTGTGATGTGCCTTGAAGTAGTGAGTTCTACCCAAGCAGGATAGTGTCCCTCGGTGCCTCCCTCCAAAACTCAGATCAAGCCTGGCTGTGAATGCTACAGAAAGAATAATGGAAGAGAGAAATGGGGTACTCCACAGATGCATCAGCTTTCACTGAAGGTAAACCTCCCAGCTCCATGATGGATAAGGAAGAAAAAAAAGATTAAGTAAGCCAGTAAATCTCTCTAATGGGAATCTGAATGGAGGCAGATGTATGTGGAATGTACGAATGTGCTTACCACTAACATGGAACCACCTCCTCCAATACGTCAAAGAGGACAACTCTCATAAGACTGGAGGGAGAGCCACCATCAGCAAGGGCATTAAACCAAACTTCCTCTCTACCAAAGACCTGGAGAAATAAACTAGAAGCAAACTAAATGCCAATCACAGCCACATGCCAGCCCCAATAGGTCCCCATGCCTCCAGTCAGCAGTGAGTATAAGAGTTCTTAGAAGCCAGAGAGCCCTTCTCACAGAAACCACACTGAAGACAGGGTTTCCCAGGCCCAGAACGCAGTTTCACACCCACTTCAGTGTTCTTAGCTGTAGAGAGACACGCTGACAGTTTTTGCTAAATGCCATTTTACAGCCTGAATCCCTCTATTCCATCAGCAAGATG